CTCTCTCAATCCATCCTCGTACCATCACAAACTATCCAGAAACAAAAAAAATGAGCATTATAATAGAAGGTGCAAGGTTCCCCACGTTCGTGTGGTTGAGCGGGAAGTGCCCACACACCCGTTTGCCGCCGAAGCGGCACACTTGCACAAATATATATGTTTTTTTCAATCCATAAAAACAAAGGTAAAGGGCAGAAAACAACATACCTAACACAGAAGGCTTCACCAGCAGAAAAGCACCAACCAGAGGCAGCGTATAGTCCGAAAAAACTTGGAGAGTCCTCCGAGTCAGCCCATAATCACAGCAGCACTGACACTCCTATTCATCCCAAACAACACATTCACGCCACCACATTCACAGAATCTCCAAGCGACACCAGAAGCACTACTACTTAAAACACCATGGAAGCACCACCACCTTCGATGTGTTCCAAAAGAGCAGCCCGCGGGAGTGACACCCACAGCAAAGACTCTGTTACATGCTGAGCCTGCACACGGGCTCCATTTTGGGGGCCCGGCACTTGCTGGCCCCCCCCAGGTCCCACGCCATTCCAGGCAGGCGCTCAGGAGGCCCACGGCCATCCTTTAGGCCACAGGGTTCGACTTGAGGCAGCATTTATTTATTTATTTGCTGTTCTATTTTTGTCTGTTTCAGGCGTCGTTTTGAACTTGCAGTATGTCCGAACAGACTTACGGTCTGTTCGGACCAAGGCCACGTTTTGGGACTCCTCCATTCGTGGCCAGGCCCTTTCAGGCCAGGTTCAGTTTCGTCCGATAGCGGGGACACCAGCCGACACTCCCTGCTGCATCAGCAGCGAGGGCCTGAATGTCCGGTAAGGACCCCAGCAGGCCGTTTCAGGCCAGGACCAGGAATACATCAGCCAGGCCCAGCACTATAGAGAGCTGGGCCAGTCCAGTGCGCACACACGGTTCGAGCGGCCCACTTCTTGGGCGACACGCTGCTGGAGCAGCGTGATACAGCGCTACGCTAGAGGTAGAGGTGTAGGTAGGGAGAGAGGCGGCAGCCATACCTGCAGCGGCGGAGGACTTACCTGGATGCCATAGCTGGACTTCTCACCAGCGACCTGCAGCACAGAGGGAGACGCCGGCTCGTTAGTACATGGCGGCAGTTACCTGCAGGTGAGACAGCGAGGAGGAGGACATCTTCTTCTTCCTGTTATCGCCCTCCATCTCTTCTTCTTCCTTCTTCTTGTTGTTCTTCTTCTTCTTAATATTTCAGACAGACACACACACACACACACACACACACA